GTCCTAAAAATGAAGAGCGTGGAGTCACAATGCAGCAGGGAGTATGGCGGCGCATAGCGTTATTTCAACACTTTCTACGCTTATTCCACGTCGTCAGTCTCTTTTTCCCATGGATGCCATTTTATAGTTCTTAAAATCATCGAAACCTGCGTGTGCACGTGGTATTGTTCATATATATATATATATACCATCGTACGTGGTCTCCGAGGAGGATATGAACGAATATGTGCAGATGAATGAACCGTACTTAATCCAATGAATCAAAGAATCAAAGCTTCCAGGAACCCGCCGAAAGCCAAAAATTGGCGGAGCCAGGATTTGAACTCTGGGCCTCCCAATGTCCGGTCGGGTGTGCTAACCACTACACCACTCCACCTTGGCTTTCTGGCGTTTCCTACCTGTCTTATTAATGCACAAGACACGAAATGTATCCAATCGGAGGTGTTCTGGAAACACACGCCGCCGCGTGGAACGCGGTACGACGCTTAGTGTCACGTGATACGTGCTCGTTTGTGCTCCAGAAATCCTCCCACTGTTTGTTTCGCCCCGTGTACATGTAGTATTCTTTGTTTATGAGCTTTAGAGACACGGTATCATCATCATCTGCGAGAATCAAGAGCCACGTTATTGAGTATACAACACGGGCACTTCACACCATCGTACGTGGTCTCCGAGGAGGATACGAACGAATATGTGCAGATGAATGAACCGTACTTAATCCAATGAATCAAAGAATCAAAGTTTCCAGGAACCCACCGAAATGCATCCAATCGGAGGTGTTCTGGAAACACCTCCGATTTGTGCATTAATAAGACAGGTAGGAAACGCCAGAAAGCCAAGGTGGAGTGGTGTAGTGGTTAGCACACCCGACCGGACATTGGGAGGCCCAGAGTTCAAATCTTGGCTCCGCCAATTTTTCGCTTTCGGCGGGTTCCTGGAAACTTTGATTCTTCGATTCATTGGATTAAGTACGGTTCATTCATCTGCACATATTCGTTCATATCCTCCTCGGAGACCACGTACGATGGTGTGAAGTGCCCGTGTTGTATACTCAATAACGTGGCTCTTGATTCTCGCAGATGATGATGATACCGTGTCTCTAAAGCTCATAAACAAAGAATACTACATGTACACGGGGCGAAACAAACAGTGGGAGGATTTCTGGAGCACAAACGAGCACGTATCACGTGACACTAAGCGTCGTACCGCGTTCCACGCGGCGGCGTGTGTTTCCAGAACACCTCCGATTGGATACATTTCGTTTCTTGTGCATTAATAAGACAGGTAGGAAACGCCAGAAAGCCAAGGTGGAGTGGTGGAGTGGTTAGCACACCCGACCGGACATTGGGAGGCCCAGAGTTCAAATCCTGGCTCCGCCAATTTTTGGCTTTCGGCGGGTTCCTGGAAATTTTGATTCTTTGATTCATTGGATTAAGTACGGTTCATTCATCTGCACATATTCGTTCATATCCTCCTCGGAGACCACGTACGATGGTGTGAAGTGCCCGTGTTGTATACTCAATAACGTGGCTCTTGATTCTCGCAGATGATGATGATACCGTGTCTCTAAAGCTCATAAACAAAGAATACTACATGTACACGGGGCGAAACAAACAGTGGGAGGATTTCTGGAGCACAAACGATCACGTATCACGTGACACTAAGCGTCGTACCGCGTTCCACGCGGCGGCGTGTGTTTCCAGAACACCTCCGATTGGATACATTTCGTTTCTTGTGCATTAATAAGACAGGTAGGAAACGCCAGAAAGCCAAGGTGGAGTGGTGTAGTCATTCCATTTTCGAACGCCGAGGCGAGCGAACGTGGCATCATGAGCTCCCGTGGAGCGGCTTCAGCGGCCCTCGCCGGCCGCGGTAACAGGGCTGAAGACAACACCCAGGACTACAACGTCATCCTGCCTCCTTTGCCAACAGGGTCAGTGGTCTTAAACACCGTTTTTCTTCATGCGGACGTGAAGGGGCGGCCGTACCGCGTCGAGGACTTTCGCGACGCGTTGATTCGTCTGGCTTTGCTCCCCGAGGTCTTAGCCCTCGGGGCTTACCAGATGAATCACGTGTGGGCAGTAACGTTTAAGAACGACGAAGGCAAAAAGAAAATGCTGGCAACGCCGGAGCTGACAGTTAAAGGTCGCCGATGCATCGTTATCGACCCCAGCCACCAGGACGTTCGCGTCAAACTTCATTGGCTGCTCTTTAGCGTCGCCGACGGTGATGTTAGAGAGGCCCTGGCGCCGTACGGCAAGGTCATCGAAGTGGCCAGAGAGAAGTGGCGTGTCGACGGCTGCCAGAGCGTCGGCACCATGACACGCACGGCAGTACTTCGGCTGAAGGCGGGCATCACCTGCGACGACATCCCGCACCAGTTGCGGGTGGGCGGAGAGCTAGCTCTCGTCGTCGTGCCTGGAAGAGCTCCGCTTTCTCTTCGGTGCCAGCACACGGGGCACATCCGCAAGGAGTGTCGCGTCCCACGATGCAACGTCTGCCGTCGTTTCGGCCACGAGGGCGCTCACTGCGTCCGAACGTATGCGGCCGCTGCTGCGCCTGTGGGGGGCCTGGAGAAATCCGAGCTCCTTATGGACGAAGACGACGCCGAGGAGGCTGCCGCGGATTCTACAGACAAAAGAAGCCCTGTAGTGAACGCTCTCCCCGCGGCCGAGAACGTGGAGGAGACGAACACGAGTGATGCGTCGCCAAGTGCTGGCGAGACGGTGCACGCTGGGCAGCAGGAGATGGTGGCGACGGAAGCGCCTACACCGTCCGGTGTGGAGGGTATCAACTCCAATGAAGTCAACGGGCAGCCGGCAGTCGACGTCCCCATGAGCGACGCAGAGAAAGCGGCGAAAAGGACGCGGGAGGAAAACGTCGCAGGCCCCAAGGATTCGGAGCAGGAAGAGCCTCCGTCAAAGGCGGGCCCTCTCTGGATGCGACGGTCCACAGTCAATGCGAATGCAACTGTGGACGACAAGGAGACAGCCAAGCCACCCCCGTGATAGCATGCGCCGGAGTTTGACGGGGGCCTCGGAGTCTGTGCAAGCAAAGTGCAGTAGCCAACATCGCGCTTGTCGGAACAGATGGACGCACGACCCGAGGTAAGCACCATGGGGTCCCTCTCCCTCTGAATGGGGGTGTCGTTAGAAGCTCCTTTACCTGTCGCCACGATCAACGTCCGTGGGCTTGCGGCGAGACGCCGGCAATATCAACTTAACCGACTATTAGCCGAGAACGAGATAGACATCGTGGCCGTGCAGGAAACGAAGATCGAAAGCCTAGAGCAGACGGACCGCATGGTGCAACCGTTTCGAACTCTTTTCAATGTTTGTGTCTCACACGCTGTTGGAACTTCCGGCGGTTGCTGTTTGTTTTTCCGCCGGTCTCTAGGCGTCGTTGAGACGGCCATGGCTTCGTGTGCGTCTGGCCGTTTTGTGTTCTGCGATTTTTCTTTTTCAGGTATAGACTGGCGCGTTATTTGTGTTTATGCTCCGACTAACGAGCGTGAACGTAGACAAACTTTTGAGGGACTGAGTGACTTCCTTAGGAGTGAAAGAGTTGTTATTTTTCTCGGAGATTTCAATTGCGTCTGCGCACCAGAGGACCGTGCTAATGCAACCCGGGTTCGCGACTCAAGTGCTCTTTATTTGAATGACATTCTCGCTAAAAATGCGTTAGAGGACGTCGCAAACGTCACCGCCAAAAGTAGCGTTCATTTCACGCACTTTCAGGGCCTTAGTCAAGCTCGACTGGACAGGGCTTACGTTTCGCTTAGTCTTGTCCCGCTGTGCGACAACTACTCCGTTCAACCTGTTTCTTTCAGCGATCATGCGTTAGTTATGTTCACCCTCGGTAAAAAATTAAAAAACGCAAGATGGGAATGGTCGCTTTGGAAAATGAACATTAGCCTCATGAAGGATGACGTTTTTAAATCTAACGTAGATGATTTATTTAGGAAATTTTTCGAAGACGAGAGGACAATGTGGGGTGCTAGGTGGGAACTTTTCAAAGAAGAGGTAAAAATTAACGCAATTGAAAGGAGCACCAGCCTTAACTATCAGAAACAGAAGAAGGAAAATGAGCTACGACGCCAATTGAATTTCTTTTTGATCGAAGAAAGCGCGAAACCGGGTGAGTTTGTACAAGAGATAAGGGATATCAAGAACCAACTTGAAGTGATCGACTGTGAAAGATACAGAGGGGCTATTGTACGTGCGCGGTCCCAGAGGCTATGGTTGGGCGAAAGACCTTCGAAGCGAGCACTGAGCGACGAGAAAAGGTATGCGCAGCGAAACGAAATAAAAGAAATTCGCTACGGAAATACGATAACTCGCGATAAGAAAACGATCGAGCAAGCGTTCGTTGAATATTTTAACGATTTGATGGGTCACAGCCTACCAAGGGATAACGGTTTTGACACCGAGTTTTTGTCGCTTATGCCCACGCTTGAAGAGGATGTTCGAGAAAGTTTAGAATCGCCGATCAGCGTCCGCGAGCTTGAAGATGCCATAGACGAATTAACTGCCGGAAAAACGCCCGGGCCGGATGGTCTCAGTGCCGAACTTTATAAAACATTTAAGAGGGAGGCAGCGGACGCTTTGTACGAGGTAGTCACAGAAGCGTATTGCATAAATAAGTTACCGCCATCCTTTTTGAAAAGCCATGTTGCCCTCATTTCTAAGGTCGATGACCCTGTAAAACTATTGTCTGTTTCCTCTTATAGGCCAATAAGTCTGACTAATGTCGACTACAAAATTTACACAAAAGTCCTGGCTAGACGTTTGCAAAATGTTATAAAACACCTTGTGGGACCGCATCAGACCTGCGGTATTAAAGGCCGCACCATTTTAACTAACATACATATAGTAAGGAGCATTCTAGAATATTGCGATGCCTTTGACAGACGAGTTGCTATGTTGCAGCTAGACCTGGAGAAAGCATTCGATCGTGTGTCGCATGAGGTTCTTTTTCTTAATTTAGAGCATGCTAATGTAGGGTCTGTGATATTAGACGGTTTAAAAATGGTGTACGCAAATTGTTCGATGTCCATCATTGTAAATAAGAACGTCAGTGAAAGTGTGCAGGTTCGATCTTCTGTAAGACAGGGATGTCCACTGTCTCCCTTGCTGTTTGCAATTTACTTGGAACCATTTTGTTTAAAACTGATTAACAGTGATAGTATACGTGGTTTTAGGTTACACTCTTGCGAAGTAAAAGTGCTTTCTTATGCAGACGACGTTGCTGTTTTTTGTGTAGACCAAGACAGCGTTCGTGAGGTAATCAGCACTGCTTCCTCCTTCTGTAAGAAAACGGGTAGTGCTATCAACTGGGGCAAAAGCGTAGGTCTCTGGCACGGTAATTGGGCTACCGCACCCGGTAACTTTGTGAATGTTCAGTGGACAAATTTACCTTCGAAGTACCTCGGGGTGCCACTCCAGCACTACCGCGATAGCAAGCAACTATGGAGTGAAGAGACGGAGAAGGTTAAGACTAAAGCGGAGAGCTGGAGGGGTAGGGACTTCTCCATGTTTGCACGCGCTACCGTTTGTAATTTATTTTTAACTGCGAAAATTTTGTACATTTTGCAAGTGCTGTGTATGCCGCGCCTCAACATACAAAGACTGCACAGAGTTTTCGCTGTTTTCATCTGGAATTCGAGCTGGGAGCGTTCTGCTCGTACCAATTTGTTCCGATCTGTTGGTAATGGTGGTCTAGGATTGTCCCATTTGTTTCTAAGACAAATTGTGTCTAGGTTCATGTTTTTACGCGATCAGAAAGATTCATTTTTGCGTACTGTTATGCAAGTGCGACTGCAGTATGCACTCCCTGAGTTTGTGGTGTCATCTAGTAGACAAATGCGATCCAGTGTACAAGGTCATTTGCGTGAAGTTGTGCTTTCTTTCAGAATACTCAAGGTGCGCTTTTCCTTAGAGTATCTTAGTTCAGTTACCCGAAAACGATTGTATAAAGATTTAATAGATGTACTGTTGCCAATACCTCTCTATAGGTCATTATACTGTGAACGTCCAGGGCTAGATGTGCTAAAAAGGGTAAAGAAAATGCCAATCAAATCTTCGGTAAAATCTTTTTTCTTTAAATTGCACAGCGGCGTACTCCCTCTAAAGGCGTGGCTAGAACAGAAAGGTATATTTGTACCGTGGTCAGTGAATTGTATCCTCTGCAAAAAACCCGAGACGATAGAGCACGTATTTATTGAGTGTTGGGACGCCGTGTTTCATTGGGACATTCTTCAGCGCACACTGAAAAAAGATCTACCTATAACCGCGCACGGCATCCGCTTTTTGCCTCTGGAAAACGAGGGGGGAGTCCCTTACGATATGTTCATGCTCCTCAGCCTCCACAGTCTCTGGAGGACAAGAATGAGTGTTAATAATGCTGATGTTAATACCAAAACTATAAGTGAAAATTTCATTGAAAGTGTGGCATATATTCGCGAGGTATACCGTGCACTCCCCGAACCCCCTGAATGGTTGCCAATACTAGATGAGTTGGTATGTTTAAAAAGATTTTAATGTGCTGGCAACCGCCGCTAAGTGCTGATTCGCTCTTGAACAAACTGTACGTATGTGATTGACTGTGTGCTTTTTCATTTTGTCTTAACCGGAAATAAAGAAAAAAAAAAGGAGTGGTGCAGTGGTTAGCACACCCGACCGGACATTGGGAGGCCCAGAGTTCAAATCCTGGCTCCGCCAATTTTTGGCTTTCGGCGCGTTCCTGGAAACTTTGATTCTTTGATTCATTGGATTAAGTACGGTTCATTCATCTGCACATATTCGTTCATATCCTCCTCGGAGACCACGTACGATGGTGTGAAGTGCCCGTGTTGTATACTCAATAACGTGGCTCTTGATTCTCGCAGATGATGATGATACCGTGTCTCTAAAGCTCATAAACAAAGAATACTACATGTACACGGGGCGAAACAAACAGTGGGAGGATTTCTGGAGCACAAACGAGCACGTATCACGTGACACTAAGCGTCGTACCGCGTTCCACGCGGCGGCGTGTGTTTCCAGAACACCTCCGATTGGATACATTTCGTTTCTTGTGCATTAATAAGACAGGTAGGAAACGCCAGAAAGCCAAGGTGGAGTGGTGTAGTGGTTAGCACACCCGACCGGACATTGGGAGGCCCAGAGTTCAAATCCTGGCTCCGCGAATTTTTGGCTTTCGGCGGGTTCCTGGAAACTTTGATTCTTTGATTCATTGGATTAAGTACGGTTCATTCATCTGCACATATTCGTTCATTCATCTGCACATATATATATATATATATATATATTAACTGGTAAAAACAACACAAGGAAAAGTGCACAAGACACTCGTACATTCGCCATTATAATCTGAAGCATTCTATATGACTAGAATCGGCTATGTCGTATCATTTCGAACACTCACGAACATTACTCAGGAATTCGGCTTCTTTAATAACAACCATTTATTTAAAATGTTCACGCTTGTATATGTCAGTCTACTGCGCTACTGCAAAGAAGCGTTAGCGACGCGGTGCTGCGATAATTGCTCACCTAAATTCATTGATCGCTCCCTCTCACCTTACCTAATTTAGGCATGGGATACTTGGTCTCGTAGTAGTCTTCGTAAAAGTCGATAAGTTTGGGCACAACGTCCATGGCCACCTTCTGTGCCAAGCTAGTCGCCGCAGCTCGTGTCCATACGCGCATCTAAAAACAGTTGCGATCACACATGGAGATATAAACTTCTATAATGACTGAGTATACATTGAGCTGTAAGATCGGAAAATGAACTGAAAATATTGACCACATATTTTTCTAGGAGTGTGTTAGTTCGGAAATTCAAAAAAAAGAAGAGAGAGCAAGCTCGTCTTGCAAAGCGTCTTGCAAAGCAAAGCTTCATTTTAGCGACCGAACGATGGAACGGAGGCAAGAAGGGACACTCCTCCTCTCCAGCGTTCACTCTGCTAAAGGGGAAAGAGTGTAAGACTCTGCGGAACAAGTTCGTCTTGCTTTTCTTAGCCTGCAACAGTGTATCAAAAAAAAGAGGGAGGATAGAAAAGGAAGTAGGAAAGGAGGTGGTAGTTTAGAAAGGCTATGCCGGTGGGCAGTTGCCGCGCCCGGAACACAGACGTGGGACCGCAGCTCAGTGACTGTTCAAGCACGGGGTTTTAGAGTCCCTGTCTCCTGTCTACGAAGCTTTCACGAGCTTTTGCCTCCCCTTTTACCTGACTCGGCAGTGGTTGTGCGTTCCCCGTAAAGGCCTTCACCGTATTGACGACACGACAATCAGCTCGATCTGCCCAACCTGTGATGTTCCTCAGGGGACTTGAAACACCTCCTCTGCCCAACTCTAGAGGGCTAAAAGAGATCCTTATTTGACGCAGGAGTTACAACTCGTTGAGGTTAATTGCTCTACAGTTTTAGACATTATGTCCCCCCGACTCAGAAAGTGATACTCATACGCCGCAATCTTCGCATCTTCAGAGGAGGCCAGTCTACTGGACCATCATACATGAATGCATATCTTGTCATCATTTGTTCACAACCAAAACATTCTTCAAAAGGGCTCAGTTATTTGTTTTTCACGACGAAAGAACTTGTAATGTTAAAGGAACGAAAGGATGACGACTGTGAGGGAGCGCGCAAAGAAGTGTACGCGGAGAAGGAGAGTTTGTGAGGAACAGCCAGCGGCCGACGGCCAGGCCTGGGGTGCTATCCTGGTCGCAAACAAGAAAGTGACATAACGAAAACGTTGGGGCGGAGCCTCAAACAAGAATGAGTTTTGTTTGAGGCTCCGCCCCAACGCTCGGGTTCACGCACGCGGTCAGCTAGAATCTGACGATCCCCCTACGTCGCGATGGCGTGTCCACGCAGTTCGGGCGCAGAAATCTCCGCATTTCCCCCTGTTCTTTTTGTTATCTTCTTTCTTTCCTCCGGGAGTTAGAACGAGCGAATCACGGAGAAAAGGCTAACTTCCAAAAAATGGAAGTAAACCGAGAGAAATAATGTTTTCCTTTTATAAAATACAAAAGGTTATAATAATAATTATGACGTAAAGTAAATTTAGTTAAGATATCTCAACTTGTTTTCTCGGAGTCTTTCGCTACGGTCTTTCAAAACAGACATGGCGAGAACCGCGGTAACGACCTTGTGGTGTTTGTGCCTCGTTTGCGTCGTTGCCTTTCCTACTTCTGCACAATACGGATGGCATTACGAGAAGAACATATTATGTGAAGGTACGCTGTGACACCAATCATCCTTTGTGAAGCCGCTCTGAACATAGGCTGCAAATGAAATGTCCTGTTTGCCTGTGAAAAAGACTTCAAATGGATACAGAGCTGACGACGACTCTGTGGTAATATATGACAAGTCGTGAGACCGGCGCAGAGCGCACCGGTCGTGAACATGATGTGGATGATGCAGGAAATTTTCTTCGGGCAGTTTTAATAATGATTTGCTCCCTTCGCTTACTGCAGTGATTACGGCGGTAGTCCCCATAAGTCATGCTCTTTTCTTTTGGCGCTGAAGAAATGGACGCGACCGCATAATCTCGTTCAGTCCTTTTTACTTACTTTTTTATTGCAGAAAAGCTCGTGCAAAACAAAAAAAAAACGGCTTCCAGGTTTTTTCACGTCCCTACATATATGTACCTCGCCATCCCATTGGCTAGCTTCATTGCGCGTGACGATTCAACGCTTTTTGCCATTGGGAACGTTCGTGAAACTACAAAACGTCTGTTTGCCACTAACAATCGCTTTTCGAGTTCGGGTTGTGATGACAAAATGACGTAAGAACAAGAATGCACGAGAGTATTTACATTGTTTTAACTCGACAACCGTACGCTCGTCGGATCGACCGCGGCTAGGGTTTGACATGCCATCGGTAACTTCAGCAACGCGCACACGAATGCTTTCGTGCTGTTGAATGAGCCCATTCGGCGGCAGGACCGGGTCGAAGAGCACGGTAAACTGGCGTTCAGCGTCTCTGATATAACACTTGGCGAGATGCAAGACTTGGCTTCTATTTGTGCCGGTGTTATGAAGCTTGAAAGTGGTGGTGGTGTTGTGGCTCGTAACGGCAGCCTTGCTAAAATTATGAAGACGGTAATAGACCTTCATTCAGCGTTGCCATGCGTCAAGATTCAAAACCTCACATAGACACAATGAGACCAACGCTTCTGCGAGCACGGAGGCAGCAGCCAACGGTCTGAGGAGGAATTGTGCCGCCGCCACGACCGCCAGCGATCGCCTTAACGGCAAGAAAACAAACAACAAGGTGATTGAGGTTCGTGTAGCACTGACTGCTGATTCATCGGACGACAAATGTGGATGATGTAAAACGCAATGTAAGTTTGCCAGCGTTTTGCAAAACTAACACGTTTCGTTGAAAATTTAATTTGTGGAATTTGTTAACGCCTTGAAAGTTTGACGGGGACTGCGTTGTGAACGCAGCCTTCACTCCAAAAACACTTCAGGAAACACAAGTGTTTCCTGAAGTGTTTTTGCTTTGCCTGCATGCATATAAAGACAGTAACACTGCCTATATGGTGTATAAAATAAAAAAATTTCGCTTATCCTGATAATGTTGACTATCTATTGAGTGTTGTTGATAGTAGTGGCGTAGCCAGGAACTTTTGAGGGGGGAGGGGGGTTCAGGAGGCTGGAATGCTGATGACTTGGGGTGCGCGGGGGTTGGTGGCGAAATTTGTGTGTATACTCTAGAGCCCGCCAAATTTGGAGAGGGGGGGGGGGGGGCGAAGCCCCATAGGCCTCCCCCTCTCACCCCCCACCTACTGGCTTCGCCACTGGTTGATACCAGATGGAGAGCATCCTACATTCACAGGATGCCATAAGCATGTGCATAGCTACTGAGCTCGTACAATAATGGCAAGATAGTTGCTGACATTCTACACGTTACGTAGCAGTACTTTCTTTAGTACATATGCTCGCTTTTCCTTCACACATCTACTCTGCTTCCGCTTGTCGTTTATGCTTGATGGTGATAAGTCAACAAATGCGTATTTGCTCTGCATCAAAGGCAAATTTCAAAAATACAGTTCGCACTACTCTTTAATTTCAATGAGTTACTGTCACGTTTGAAACGATAATCTGTTTTAATTGGTATCATAACCTACACATTAAACATACGTGTGTTGAATATAAGACAATGGTATCTTTATTGTCGTTCTTGGTCACGGAGATGACCACCATCCACAAGACGGCACTGACTAAATTTCTCGTCTAGAGTTGGTAACAATGTCGCCATACTCTGGCAGACTAAACTCCCTGCTGTCTAAACAACTAACAATTCATTTTAAGAAAAACCTGCTCGTAGTTCATTGCAGGGCATCTAACAGTGTTTCTTAGGACTCTCCGATGACTGACATGCGACTCCAGAAGCTTGGCGTGAAAAGGTGGAATATCTAATTGATACAATAAAATGTCATCAGCAACCCATCCAGAATTTATTGTGTGAATGACAGTTGCTACAAACCGCAACAAATGGTCAACTGTAGTCATACGTACTAAGCGTGCACTAACTTCAAAGCGGTAGAAACCCTGAGGTTTTAACGTCAACTTACCACCATGTTGTTAATGGCAAAGTGGTGTTTGCGGCCAACCTCAATCAGTATTTGTCTTCTAAAGATTGTGCTCACGTCTTTCACTTAAATGTTCATTCGACAACGATTAAACATGATTCTATAATATCCCTTCTAGATCAGTGTTGGGTTTATTTTGATCTAATAATTCTTACAGAAACGTGGTATCAGCAGGACGCTGATATGCTTATCATACAGGGTTACAAACATTTATTTGTAAACCGCAAAAAACGACGTGGTGGTTGTGTTGGTATTCACGTGAAAAGTTCTATTAAATGTTAGTTGGTGGAAACCTTTTCTGAAGTTACATGTGATTATGAAGTATTAAGTCTAAAACGTGGAAACAGTATTGTTTCTGTTTTGCATCGTCCACCTTGGGCAGACTTTCGAAATTGTATTTCTTTTCTTGAAAAGTTCTTAGATTATGTTTCTGTAAAAAACTATCGCTTGGTACTAGGGGGGGGGGGGGGGGGGGAGGGGGGATTTTAATGTAAATATATTAGAGGATTCAATTCAAGCAAGAATGCTCACTAATACGCTAAACTCTACGGGCTTTCAAAACGTTATTACATCCGCGACAGGAGTCACATTATCCACATCAAATGCAATCGATCTTTTTATTACCAATATTTCTACCAAAGTCAAAGCCGCTGGAACCATTAGCAGCGATATCAGCGATCATTGTCCAATTGTTTTTCCCTTGTATAATCACGAAACGCAGAAAAAGAGTTCGAAGGCTACCGCCACCTTTCGGCAAATGTCAGACGATCGTCTACTTGCATTTTGGAACGCGGTCTTAAACTGTGATTGGACCCCTATTTACTCTATGATAGATGCGGATGAATCTTATAACGAATTCTTACACATTTTCAAAGAACTTTATGACTTGCATTCCCCGTTCAAAACAGTAACTGTAAATAGGAAGATAAGGAAACCATGGGTAACTCTCTCCATGTAAAAATGATGCAGAAGAAAAATCGCTTATATAGGGAGTTTGTAACTTCAAGGAACCAGGACAAGTTATTGCGCTTTAAGAAATTTAGGAACGAATTAACGTCCGAACTGAGAAAAGCGAACTCCTCATAGTATAAGCAAAAATTCTATGACGTCACAAAACAGCGCCCTGAGGTTGTCTGGAAAGTTATAAATGAAGTTCTTAATCGCAGTAAGGTATCTTCTTGAATAGGAGAATTAACCGCAGAAGGTCGATCTATGTAGGGAGAGTGTCTGGCAGATTGTTTTAATGCCCACTTTACAGATACGCAGACTACTACCTACGATGACAGTGCCATTCGTTATGTCAGTCTTGTCGATGACACTTTTTTCTTGAACCCCACCGACGAGAAAGAAGTTTTTAATACATTCTTAGGTCTCAGAAACAGTAAAAGTAGTGATATCGACAAGTTTGAAATAAAACCAGTTAAATTTGTAATGAACATTATTGCACCATGCCTTGCGCATATATATATATATAACTTATTATTATCTTCCGGAATACTTCCCGCAAGTATGAGGTTTGCTAAAGTCTCAGCCATATACAAAGGTGGTGACAAAAACATGGTAAAAAACAATATACCTTTTTCCGTGCTGCCTGTTTTCTGAAAAAGCACTCGAGAAAATTATTCTTACACGTCTCGATAATGTTTTTCTTTCTAAAACATTGCGTGTTAACAGACAATGAGTTTGGTTTTCGAAAAGGTAAATCAACTGAAGCTGCATCGTTATTTCAAAAGGAAAATATATTCCAAAACATAGAAAAGAGACTTATTACACTAGGTTTATTCATTGATTTTAGCAAAGCGTTTGATGTTTTAAATCACGAAATTTTGCTTGCGAAATTAAATCGTTTTGGCGTCCGTGGTGAGCCACTGGTTTTACTGAAATCATACTTACAAAATCGAAAACAGTGTGTTGTTATTGATGGTCATTGATCTTAATTTCGAAGTGTACAGCAAGGCATTCCGCAAGGTAGTATATTAGGACCTCTTTTGTTTAATAGCTTCATCAATGATATTGTGAATATTGATAATGAAGCACAGTTTATTATTTATGTATACAATACAAGCCTGATTTTTTCT